TTAATGCATTCATTTAATCATTAATTGTCTTGTTTGAGAGATTGTATCTATTTGATGTGTGCTCTCATTGGATCTATAAGATATTCCATGAGTATGTTGACCTATCCGGAATGACATGGAAGTCAATTATCGAGCAAACTATAGACTTCGATTGAAAGGAGTTTAAGGTAATTAATATATAGCTTAATTAATTATGTTACGGTATATTTCAATTAAGTTGCTTAATGTTAATTTAAATGTACTAATAAATATTTTTAATGTTCTTATAGAATTTCTTTATATGGGATTAGGAGTTTAATCAAAACTTTAGAAAAGCATGACAGAGTCTAATACGAAAGCGATATTTCGACTTCGTTCATCATATGAAGAAACATCCCAAACCAATGTATATCTTATAGGAGATATAGGATGTATGGTAGCAGGAATGAGAAAAACATGAGTCTCGATCTCGATTTAAATGGATGACTTGGAGTCGAATGAATGAGATGGATGGCATCGAGGCTAGGCCATCTAAACATACGGGGGTTCGATCACATATAAGGAGCACACAATACGTATGATAAATCCTATTTTATGTGTGTGTGTGTGTGTGTATAATTATTTATAATTATTACAATATCAATATGCATTTAAGTATATTTATTTCAAGATAAGGAGTTAGGTCGTGAACCCGATGCTCACGAGGTATTCTTGATGACTCACAAAAAACAAGTTGATGATAAATATGTATTCATCGATCACCCGGCAAAAAATCTTGAGCTAAGTAATTTATAAGCTTATTTCATACGTATGTCACTTTTATATAACTTATTGAGATTACAATTTAATATTATAATTTTTTTAATTATGTAGGACACCGTCAATAAAACATATGAGGACGAGGTTGCTAGCTCGGGGATAGAAGGTGCTTTAACGCCAATTATCAACATGAATAAGATATTTAAGAGGGTTGTTAGAGGAGGAGACGAGTAAGAGGAAGAGAATATATGAACTCGGGTCATAAGCCTCTTATTATTACTTTAATGTCGAGTTCATTCTTTGATTCGACCACATCGTGGTTTCATATTGATATTGAGGAGCAATGAAAGGAAATGGAGGCCAATACTATTAGAAAAGAAGAAACAATCAAGAAAACTAGAGGGCATTATTTCATCTCTCCTTGCTACTACAAATCAATTGGAGTAGTATAACTAGGAGCGAGTTTACGATAATGCGACGGATGTTACTAAATGTGCAAAAAGATAATTCCTCCACCATTCCTTTGATCGACCATTATTCGTCGGATGAAAATGCTGATATGTGACATGTAACCCCCTTCATCACACTATTTTTTTTTTTGCTATTATGTTTTTATTTGCTGAAATATTAATACACTTTAATATAATTTGGTGTTTGAATATATATTGGATTGGATTTTATATAAAATGGATTGAATATATGAAAATGAAAACGAGATATACCACTTATTAACGACACGTGAACGATGAAATAATTGACTGAAAATATCGTCCAAAAAAAATTGATTTAGTGACGATTTTAAAGCTACAACTAAATCCAAACTAAATTTGGTCAAAATTAACAATGGTTTAGATAAACCATCTCTAAATAGAAGCTAAATTTAGTGAAGGTGTAAAGACAGCTTTTGAGAAACCATCTCTAAATTGATGACCTTTTGTCGATTTTTTAGTGACAAATTTTTAATTTGGTAACGACGGATATACCGTTTTTACATTACCAACAAAATCCTTGAACCGTTGCTAATAAATTAGGAAGAAACTTCTTAGTGACGAGTTTTGGACTGTCTCTAAACTCGTCGCTAGCTAAGTTTAATTAGCGAAGATTTTTTTTTTATTTAACAATGATTTAAACCATCACTAAATCAATTTTTTTTTTTAGTGATATATAGGTGGCATTAGTAAAAAAATAGTACGTAAATGTTCTATACACAAAATCAAAAGCATAGGGATCCTACAAGCATTAATCCAATTTTAAGATAACTTGTTTTTACGAAACTATAAATCGGGGTTGGATAATGGAAAATTAAGTACTCTATATATTATGTAGTTCAAGTAAAAAATATTCTCCAATTAATGAATTATTATTAAAATTAAGTAAGAATGGTTAACAATTTAAATATTTATCTTTCACACATATATATATGCACTTTTTTAACTATATATTAATTGAAAGAAATCTAATTAAAAGCAGTTTGGTCATCTTCTAAAAGACTAATTAATTAACTGAACTTTTAAAGAAGTAACAGTTAGATGATTAAGTTATGGTTTCCGAAACTAACGGGACTTAGTTATTATATGGTTGAAAAAAGAAGGACTAAATTATTATTTGGTGAAATTGAAATCACGGTGACGCAGAGATACACATGAAGAAAATTAAATCTTTGTGCAAGTTGGCAAATTGTTTTCCAACAACCCATGCAACGAAGCTAAAAGCGTAATGAATGAAACTGAGTCAGAAGTAATGAGTTTGGACGAGTGAGAAAACAAATTAAATAATTGGAAAAGGGCCCCACATCTTCATTATCGAACCAGCAAATCGACACATTCATATGAGCCAACGGCTAATTAAGGCAGCTGCAATCCTATTTGTAGATTTGCAGGGTGGATGAGGACACACCTGCTAGCGAATGCCATGTGTATGAAAACGCTGTAGAGCGTGAAAGTTAGACCATAGCCACTGTTGATATATGGCAGATTCAAAAGATGTTAGCCCATAACTTTGAAGTTTGACTGGACCATTATATAATATTATATAATACCAGCCAAATTAGAGCTATCATGCTCATCTCCACTGGAAGTATCAAATACGTAAGAGTTACATCAGGGTCTTAATTAAACTGATATATATATATATATACACAACTCCATGTATATCTAAAATAATAATAATAATAATAATAATAATAATAAATATAATCTTCTTTTATTTGATTCTTAAAATGGTTGTTCATATAGTAAATATTAAAGTAATAAATCTTAAATAATAAAAATAATTAATAAAAAATAATAAAATAAAATCAAATCAAATCACAATACAATTAATATTTAAAATTAAAAAAAAATAAAAAAATTAAAACTAAAATGTTACAAAGATATCATAAATAGTGAAAAAAAATAATGATTTTTGAGTGTATAAATAGTTATTTATAAGCGTATGAATAGTATTATAAATAGTAAAAAAATCATTTTGGTTTAGTATTTTTTATAATATCGGGTTTACTTTCCATATTATTATCTTAAATTTAAATTAAAAATAGTTAATGATAGGAAGAAACTTATGGTTAATAATGAACTAGCATCTGGTTTGAATATAAATTAATGATTTAATTGTTTAAGATTAGGTTTGAAAGATATTTAATTTTGGTATTTAAAAGTTATTTTGGTGATACGGTTTGAAGATTAAAACAAATTAAAGAAAATTTATAATGAATATGATTAAACAACATATATAGGTACGTGTATCCTAATTGAATTGAATGTTAATTGATTATATTATATTTTAAGATTAATGTGATTTCAAGAATTATTAATAAAGTCCTTATAATGATGATTCTTGTTGATTTAAAAAACGAATCTCATTTTTGGGATTCAGTGACCCAGATTTTACTGCTCCTTTATATATTGCTGGCTCAACATCCAAGTTACCATGCATTTGGAAAATCTTGATGGTTACGAAAGCTTTTGTGGTTCCTTGGACTGTAGTTGATTTTTTTTTTTATTATTATTATTATTATTATTATTATTACGAAAATGCTTCACGATAGTACGATGATAAATACTATTTTTAAAAATAAAAAATTTTTAAAAATAAATTTAAAAAATAAAAATTAAATAACATAATATCTTTATTGAAAATTATTCATCTTTTTTCTTTTTTTTTATCTCTAAAAACTACTGTTATAAAATTATAATGATTTTTTTTACATCACTAATGTCATGTACTATTATTATTATTATTATTATTATTATTATTATTATTACTACATTTTGAACTACACCAACTAATTAATTAATCATTAAAGTGGATGCATGACGACAAAGACACTTAACAGATCTTCAACCAATTATTTATGGATAGTAATTGTCTGCATGATTTGATGGATAATGAGAATCAATTATATGTAAAGAAAGCTTTTGTCATTTCTGTTAATTTGGGTTGATTAGTGCCCAGTTACAATCTCACGTACTGTAATTTTTTTATTCGAAAATAAAGATTTTTTGAAATAAATTAATACGTCAATGGAATTAAATTATTTTTTAAGTAATATTAAGTTGTAATTTAAAACAATTTTAAAATTCAAACGAAACATTAAAGAAGATTTAATAAATTTTGTATGTATTTTTAAAGTTGAAATCCAGAAAGTAAATGAACATTTTTAACTATATAATATATCAGGCAGGTCGATCCTTGAGGTTTCATATATTACATTTAATAGAATTAATTGGTTAACGTGCCACTCTAGATCAATATCACACATCTTTTTGGCATAAAAGTAAGATTGATGGGTGGTATTGTGATGGAGGGAGGGTGGAAGCGTGGCAGCATTATCAGCTCCCACGTACACATCACCCATCTTCTGATACGTGGCAACTGGCAAGCAATAGTGAGTTTCTCTCTCCGAGTGTGGAAGACCAACTTGCAACTTGTACGGATAGTTGAATATCTCCAGTACCTATTCATGAAAATTAACATCGATCATTCACATTAAAACGCCTTATTGTTGTCTTGGAGAGTTTGGACAAATATTTATGGATCTCCTGCCTGCCCTACTAGCAATGCCAAACATATAGGAGAGTAGAGAAATTTAGTTCTTTCTCTTTCACATTCATTTTCCTACTTGACCAAGCTAGGGCAGAGTCTATTTAAGTCCCTTTCATTTTTGGCAGAGCTCTCTACTGATCATCGCCTCCTATTCTCTCTTTACCCTCTAATCTCTCTCTCTCTCTCGTTTAGGAGACCAGGCTTGATAATATATATTAGACATGGAGAGCCAGAACAAGGCCAGTCTTCCTGTAATGCATGGGGATGAGAGCAGGATAGCAAATCGAAGAGGAGCAAGGACAAGTGACTTGCTTCTAAGACTTTTAGCCTTGGTGCTAACTCTGGCTGCTGCTATAGTTCTTGGGGTAAATAAGCAGACCAAGCTTGTTCCCATTAAGATTGTGGATACCCTACCTACTGTAAACGTTCCTGCTTATGCAAAGTGGCGTTACTTGTCTGCCTTTGTGTAAGTATTCTCTCTTCCAAGTAAAACTATATATATATAGTGAAATTTTAATTTTTCTATTTGATTGATTTGTTTTCACTAATCACCATGAATTCTCCAAGCTAGATCTTTTTTTGCTATCGTTGTTTTTACATTAGGGAAAGAAATCTTGGTTTTTTATTTTTATTTTTATTTTTTGAACAAAGAAAGAAAAGATTTGCAAGTTAATTAGAATTTGTGGTATGTTTTAAAGCTCTCGATCGTAAGAGATTTTATATTAGTTTGCATTAGTTAATTTGGGCATCACACAATTAATCAACTTGGAAGATAGATTATGCAGTCTATTTTGGCACAAGATTTGAGCCGTTGGTTGGTGTACGTAGGACTCAAAATTTTGGGAATTTTTATCCTGTCGTAGTCCTGGATATATATGATACTCTTTTAATGTCTAAGCAAAGGACTTAAAAACGACCTCACCTTAATTACCCTGCTTGGCAATTTTTACCCTGTCGTTTGCCCTCTCATAAATGTCAGCTTCCATTTTTAAGGCTACCAGCCTCTTGAGTATTGACCTAAAAATTTAAATTTATATAGTAGGAGGAAACTGCAAGGACACAAATCAAATATACTACTAGCTAGGGCAAATCTGAAAAATTGTCCCTCCACTAAATAGGTAGAGGTAGTAAGCAAATTTTTGTATCAATTTTGTTTTTTGAATTGAAAATTCTCATCAAATAAGTATTTTTATCTATATTTGATTATGTATTCCATATAAATTGTACTATTTTTTGCAAGAAAAGATGTTTTTTTATTAGTAAATATATTTGTCAAGGAATTATAAAAGAAGACCTCGATTGAGAAGCCTGAGGAAAAAAATTGATACCAACCATTTTTGTTTTTTAGTAGAAGTATTAATTTGCTAGAAGTTTCATATTTTTATAATAAATAAGAGGATTTTATAAGGAACCAAATCAGAGACTTACGATTTTATATTTTTGTTAGATAAGATCATTTATTTATTTAGAATTCATGCATCATAATGAAGCCCATTTCTGTACATGTGCTGTCTCTATTGTTTCTAATAACACTATATTATATATATATATATTTGATAGGTTTTCGGTGGTATCAAATGCTATAGCATGTTCATACGCAGCGCTCTCTCTAGTCCTTGCAATGAGTGGAAGGAAAGGGATAATGTCAATTGTTATCATTGTTGACCTATTGATGGTGGCATTGCTGTTTTCTAGTAATGGAGCTGCCTTGGCCATTGGTCTTATGGGGTACCAAGGGAATTCACATGTGAGGTGGAATAAAGTGTGTGATGTGTTTTCGAAATTTTGCAACCAGGCTGCTGTTTCTCTTGCCCTTTCTCTCCTTGCTTCAATTGTGTTTCTCTTCCTCGTCGCTATTGCTTCTTTGCGGCTTCAGAAGAAATCAAAGTGAAAATGCTTTGTAATTTATGGAACCTCCTTTTATTTATGTATGTCCTTCATTTGTCTATGTGGTGGAGCATTGATGCCTTGATGCTCAATAATTAATTTATAAGATTTCTTCTTCTTTCTTTTTTCCCTCTAACCTGTAGAAGTTTGGATCTATGCCTGTCAAAATTTCTGGTTGTCAATGAGCAAATCAAGATTTAAAAAATGATTCGTCATGCCCCATTTTGTTTCGTTTACTATAAATCTACGTACATTACTAGGGAGCAAGGCCAAACCGCTTGTTGACATCTATGTGCACGATAACCAAGCTTGTGCGTTGCTGGAATTTTATGCACAAAAAATAAAATCATTTTGTAGGAAGGATCAAGCTTTTTTGTTAAAAAAATTATGAGAAGTTTAAATAGAAAACTCAATCGGGAATTTTTGAAAACTAAAGAGAAATTTAGATTCTTTAATAACTCAACACAGATTTTAACCACTAATTTAAGATTTTTCCTATTTTCTATATTAGAAATTTATTTTCATTCAAGAAGCTAGTAAAATGCATCCATGTACAAATGCATCCATGCGAAACTTTTTGATGTGCAAACAAAAATTGTTGTAATTAAACAGACTTGGCGATAAATTTTCAAAAGATTAGTTACAACCATCTGATAGAAAAGCTAGTAAAAGATTATTCATTAGGCTATTAATCCACAAGAAAAGAAAAACAAACAAAAAGCTAATGGTGCTTATTTTAAACCTTTAGCCCTTGGAATTCTAGTTTGTGGCTGTTTAGGTCACCAAAATAGATCATCACTTAGCTGTTGACCCTCTAAGCACCATTATTTTTACAAAGAAAATCTCAATCTGATCAGTTGATGAAATATATATATATATATACATATAAATATATATTGTGTGTGGTGCCTTATCATAAGATCAAGGGCTAGGTTAATTATTGGTTTTTTCATTTGGGAATTTATTGCAATGTTCATTGAAATTTAATTTTTTTGCAATTTCCTTTAGACCCAATGAATGTAACATGCATCCATGACTTCTTTCAATATTTCTAATTAATTTTAAGCATACTTACAATAAATTAACATCACCGATCCAATCTTCCCAATCAGAATTTATTTGCTATCAGAGGCAAAAAGCAATAGCCTAACCAACACGTATGGATTACCGATCAATCATAATAAAGGAGATAAATATGAAAAATCATGCAAAAATTAATTAACAGAATCGAATTCTCAAAAAAAGAAGAAAAAAAGGGAGAGAATCAAAATAATATAATAGGACTCGACGATTCAAAGAACAATCCCATTCTCATATTGTCTTTTTGCTAACAAATAATTTGTCTTTTCCACCTAACATTATTCTTAAAAATTTCCTCAGACAAGTGACGACCTACATTTTAGGCAAACAAGTACTGTTTGGTTTATAAAGAGAAATGGAAGAAGATTCAGAGATAGGTGGATTGATTGCTGTTAGGTCTCATGGAGAATTACAGTGATTCTGTGATCCGTTTATTGTCAGAACTGTCAGTACCCCCAATTTGCCTCAAACTGACACCACCATTCTTGCAAGATGTACTTCAAGCCCAAAAAAACGTGGCAGGCCAAAGGTTATGGAGAAAATTGATGCTGCTAATGATGGAAAACGTTCAAGACCAAAAAAGCCTAGCAGGCCCAAAGTTTTGCATGAAAAAAAACGATGCCATTAATATGGATGCAAAAACGAAGCGAGGGAGATCACCACAAGTGTCTGAGAAAAAAGACTATTTATTTGCTGAGGAAAAAAGACAAAATACAGAAGATGAGTGACAGCTGCAATATTCTTCAATCTTTAGTCCCCATTAATTTCTTGCCTGAGGTTATGTTTTTTTGCCCATCTTTCTTTCTTTCTGGCTCAGTTAATTTTCATTTCCTCATTTTGTTTCGATTGATTAATCACACACATATGTATATAAGCCATTCTTTGGTTACCATAGTGATCTCAAGAAAAAGAAAAGGAAAGGATTATCTTGACTTCAATATCTTAACCTCAATTTAATTAACAGCTTGGTTGTATTGTTTTGAGATTCTTGTCTTTAATTGGTATAAATATGATATAGCAAGCTTTTTTAAGGCCATTTGTTAACCTTTTTTTCAAGCTTAATGTGTACTCTTCTGCTTGTTAAAGAATCAGTGGGGATATATATCCTTGTATTTCTTGTTTCTTGGACTAGGTTTCCTTCAAACAAACAATGAATGCGAACGATCAATGATGATTTTATTTATTTATTTTTTTTATCTAATATGTCAACTTCTTTAATTTCTTAGGTCCAGAGAGGCCTCTTCACAGAGAAAAAGGCCACAAGAGAGAGCATTGTTAGTGGAACAATTGCATGCATTAAATAACTTAAAAAAGACATAAGAAGGTTGGAAGTGTTGAAGAGGCTAAAGACTTCAATTCATCCAATAATTGTGTCCAATAAGGTCTCCTTTTTGGGGATTCAGGCTATGACTAAACAAGGTTTGGTTACACAAATTTTCAGGATCTTCCAAAAGCACAAGGCTGAAGTTTTGGATGCAAATGTAGCCGTAAATAATAGGCAACTGACATTAAATGTCACAGCAATTACTAGTAGCAATGCAGACATAATTAATGAGAGGATCAGAAGAGAAATATTGAATTTTTAGGATGGAATTGTGAATAAAGGCTATTGGGAAAATTAGTTTTTTCATAGATGTATAATTAGTGAGGAAAGGGAAGTGAACAAAAGAAGAGAGGATTAAGTTGAAGATGTATGTTCACGTAACAAACATTTCAATATTGTCAAAATTTGCTTTTTAAATGTTTGTGTTTCTACGATCCATGTTTATCCTTATTATATATATTTTTTTTAAGGTTTAGCATTACTCGTGGTGATTAATGATGATTAATACAGTTTTTCTAAGTTTGATGTAGTCATGGCTGAGAGAGACAACATAATTTGGTAATAGATAAAAGGAAAGGTAGTTTGGTTTCTGAAGCTTCCTTTTAAATTAATTATCACATTTTTGGTAGAATGGTTAGGTAGCATTGTAGGTAAGGGGAAATGTCTGTTAATTGTACTGCAAGAAACATTTGGAGGTCAAATGGATTTTATCAAATATGGGAGATTTGGCTTGATTCTCCTCCATCCTTACAAACTGTTAATGGTCCTAATGTTAAATGCATGCTCTTCCCTTCTGTTTCTTTTCTTTTTTTTTTTTTTGGACTTCATGCATTATAGCGGTCTCTGAATCCATGAATCATATTTAATACTTGAGAGGGATAAACACAAAGAACCCAATGAAAGCGGAGAGGTAGGGATGCTCTCTCTCTCTCTCTCTCTCTCTCTCTCTCTCTCTCTCTCTCTCTCTCTCTCTCTCTAATCTAACGCCTTACGCTATATAGCCTTTTTTAAAAAAAAAAAAATTCCCCAAATCTAATGCCTTACGCTACATAGCTTGAAAAAAAAAAAAAAATTCCACACGTCTTTTCACCCTTAGTCTTTCTTTCATCCTATTTTATGCCTTCAACTTGGAAGGGATGAAGGGCCCATTTCTTCCATTTTACCTGCTACAAGAATGTAAAAATCACAGCTGAAACAAATGCTGTTCAGCAAATAGCACAAAAAAGGCCTCCTCGACCTACTGCAACTCTTAGAACGCGTAAACCGATGATGTTCTTCACTTGTCATAAACAGGAAAAATGCTTTAACGCATGACACAAGTGCTCATGTCATTCTCGGCATTACTGATCATATAGCATTGGCAGTCAGTGAGAGCATATTACTTACAATAAAAGTAGAAAATCTAACCGGCAAAACAAGGTGAAAACAAGCACAATTAGAATAAACTCTACTACCGGGGACATCCATAAATGCAGTACCACCGGATAAACTAGAAGCTACAAAATTGCCTCTTGAACATGGAAACCGGATGAATATCCTGCAAAACTATCTAGTCTGAAACTTTCTTCGGTTCCTTCAATAGATTTGGAATTTAGGAGTCAAAATTGATTCTAATGAGCTGCAATAAAAGAAAAAAATATTTTTGTTACAATTTAGAAGATGCTGACAACTGAGCTCCAGCTTTGTCCTGCATAAAGTGGTGATTATTGAATTGCTGCTCACAATGTGGTGACGTAGTTGTTTCTCTCTTCCTTAAATACAATACAAAACAATACAAAGTGAGCGAAGGTTCATATTTCCATGCTCAATCGTCCATGTCCTTGACATTTTAACACGAAATTGCTTCCTTAATTGCTAGGTCTTCCAAATTTACATTCAGCTTCAAGCCCATATTTGACAGACCATTAACCATTGCAGGAATGCCAGATTTTAATGTAGCAGCTAGAACCTGATTGATCAGAGACAATAACAAAGACAAACTGTGTAAGCTAAAATCCTCACTCATACTACCAGAAAAAAACATATATGTGTGTGTGTGTGTGTAACAATTGATCCTTTAAAATAAGTGCGCAAAATATCAGTAAATACTGTACCTTCCTATTTTCCTCTTTTTGGTGTTTGACAACATCCAAAGGCCATTCACTTACTAAATTCTGAAGTTCAACCACAATACCTGACTTCTTAGTGTCGGCTAAAGTCTGCAAGCAAGGAAACTGGCTTAGATCAAAACAGTGATACCACACAAAAAGGTTGGAAGTCCAAACCGTATTTTTTTTGTTGTATTCTAACTAAGCAAGTATAAATAGACTCTCTAAGTGCCTTCAACACTTCCCGACATATTTTACCTGATGTATCCGAAAGCATCTAAACTTATGTTCAGTTGAATCAAAATTTAAATTGCTGTTAAGGTCTTTAATTGATCTGTGTCAGTTTAGGAATCCATGACAGTTACCAGACTTTTCCACAAACTTACCAACCATGCAAAGATAGCTTCAAACATTGTTAAACAGCCCTTGCTTTTGGCAAAACAAAAATAAAGAATACTTTCAGCAAGAAGAAACTGAGTAGATGTGCATCTACAAATACTGCTATAAACTATGCACAAGGATAGGCACCTGATCAAGGACTTGAATAACAGCAGCAGCATCCTGAGGCTTGCCTTCTAGTATTAAACCCTGCAAAAAACAGCCCCATTCAGGAACTTCAGAGAAAGTTCTCTCTCAATACATATCCACACATCAGTGTAGTTTTCCCAAAAAGGATAAATTTACATAGTGATCACACTGCACTTGACCTAACAAATACATCTTCATACTGGACCATAACATGCAAAAAAGATACAAAGGTCGATTACCTTAGCACATGAAAACGCACTCATGAGAGTGTGCGGCTTCGTCGACTCAGATCTCAACTTCTCAATTTCCCATAATGACTCAGTATCACCTATAAAATATGAAATTCAGATTCTATATAAAATTGATTTTTAATTCCAAGCTTCAAAGGATGTATTATTTTCAAATCTTAACTAAAGGAAAACAGAGCTTTGATGACATTCAGATTATTCTTCGACAAAAATCTATATGTAAGAGGACGATAAACAGACTCCAGGCATAAGAGAACATTTTATCAAATATTCTCTCAGAGCTGACAAAACCATACTATAGCATGAGAAAATTAAGACATGAGCATCTGTACTCTGAACAAGCATGTGCACATATGCACCCACCCTAGATTGATTTTTATTTTGCCTGGCCCCCAATAAAATAGAGGAAGAGAAAACCCAGCCCAATGTCTGAGCAAATAAAACAAGAGGCTAGAATTCATACTGGGGAGCCTTGGCTAGGGGAATATCTCCACTTTGTCCTCCCATCCTCAAACATATCCCAATAACAACAAGAAACAAACATAAAGCACACAACAAACAAACAAAGGCAGACCTCACAATAACAAGCAAAAAAATATTCATTACAAAAACTGAAAGAAAGAACAATTAATTTATACTAATAATAGACAAGAGAAGTGCATGATAAAATGCAAGGTCACGAAAATATAAACAGGGGAGTTGGTGTTTCAAGCAAGAATCCTTACCAAAAACCACTGTGGTCACGAAAATTAGATGGCAAGTGGATGTAAAACATAAGCAATAATTTCAAATAAGGAGAATTGAAAGTTGTAGATACCTCTTTTGGCAGCTAAATCCATCCACATGTCAAATGCAAGTCTGCGGAGTTTCACCCCAGCCTTGAGAAACCTTCTTGAATATTTAGAAATCAACATCCAATTATCCGAATTGTAACAGATACTGCAAGTGTTAAAATCCAAATAAGAAATTTGAATCATTGTTGGAAGAGAACTACAGCAAAATAATGCACAAACAAGATAGTTTAAGGAAATTCCAGCTTCTTTATGACCAAACAACTCCAAAGACCTCTTGTCAAGTTTGCAATTTGGCAGAAAACTTCTACTTTAAGTTCAAATTCAACAACTCAGGCTGGTATGAGATTCAACATAATAGATTAAAATCACTTGAAATGATAATATGGCATGTACTTGAGTAGAAATCTAAACTACAGAATATTTGCTGGTACAAATCCAAGAACAATTGCATGGTTATAGATTCACAAATACTACATCATAATCTAGAAACATTAATATGGGACGGGATTTCAGACTCATGGGCCTGTTGAGATGCCCCTTCAAGTTGCAGGATGATCAAAATTGAAATGTAAATTTTCATTGGAGATCCAGTCTTCTCCTTTTTGATCATAAATCAACAGAACTTTTCTTATTATGTAGCATTTGGAGTTTTTAACAAAGGAAAAAAAAAAAAAAAAAAAAAAAAAACAGAAGAATCAAGATATAACAGCTCCAAAATTATGCACCTGAAAACAAGATCTGCTGTACTAGGCTGTAATGGGATGTGATTCCTTTTAAGAAGTTTCATTACTTCAACCATGAGTTTGACATCATTATGATCCTTAGCATACGACTGCAGCCCAATAACAGCAACCATTAAAATACATCATATATACATGAAGCATGAGAGAATCCGACTTCATAGGGGAGTACCAGCAAATGGTTGGCAGATGCAACACTAGGAGTCAGTCCATACACATTATGATTCCACAAGGCCTTCTTTCCTGCATCATTACGGCTTGCTTACATCCTAGCAAGTTCACAGTTCCAAACTCCAAAACACAACACAAATTTTCACCACACAGAACTTGAAAGTTATATGTACCTAATAACTAGCATATCTAACAACTCAACAAAAGTAGACAAAGCAAGTCCAATATGCACCTACCAAAGTCAATGGCCCCTACACGAGCACATGCTTTAGTAACTTCACGGCAAAGATTACAATTAAAATTGTCATGAATACGAAGATTTGACAATCTCTGCATATCAAATACCCACAGCATTAAAAGACTTAAACTCATCAGCTAAAAAGCTCTAGTTACAATAGAAAGTGCTACAAAATTAGACACTAACAAATCTTCGGAGATTCTGCAAAGTGTCGAACAGAAGCTTAATATCCTCGTGGATTTTGCAATTCTCAATCAGTGACCACAACCAAGCATTTGGTGCCATTGTTCGTCTAACATTTACGGATTCAGTAATCTTATTATAAAGCTCCTTCACAGCCTCTGTCATTCAACAACACAAAGCAATAATCAAGGGAAAAAAAAAAAAAAAAGACCTTCAAAGCTAACTCAAATTTATGTTAAAAAAGAAAAAAGAAAAAAAGAATATCACACAGGATTAAATCAAGAACCTGTTGCAGTGGTCTCTACACTACTTGTAGTACAAAAGGAAGCCTTTGGTATCCTAAAGAACAGTACATCTTGTGCCGTTCCCAAATAATAATTTGCTTCACCAAATTGAGGTAAAAACAAAGTATCAATTTAGTTGCATCATAACAAAAACAAACAAAATCAAAATTGAGCAAAACACAACCATTATGGCTTGATCAAGATTTTACTCTCCCATTTTTGTTATTCATTTTCTTCATTTTCTTAGAAACCAAAAAGAATATCAAATAAAACGCATCAAAATAGAAGGGAAAAAATCCTTCTCAACAAGCAAAATACCAAAAATAAATAATAAATAAATAAACGATTGTACGAATAAATAAAAAAGTTGACATTACTCAAGAGTACCTGAGAAGGAGGGAGAAGGCGAGGAGAAAGAGTGATGGCTTTGACATTGAGTATCAATGAATAATTTGTGATCTGAGGCTACCGAGTTGAGGAGAATTTGAGGCTTCAAACTCCTGGTGAGTCGACGCGCGTTTGATAGGACTTGCATCGTTTTTGTTTTGAATCGATATGAGTTAGTGAGCGTGAGTGACGAGTTTTGAGTGAGTGAACTCGGCGGTTTGTGGAGCGAGGGAGCCAAAATGTCTCAGGGTAGCGAAAAACGATCGAGAGGGTTTAGAAGGGGGAGAAGAGGGTTTTGTTTCTGTGCTACGGCTGTGTAGTTTCGTTCCCTAGATTCGTGTTTCTTAATGTTATTTATTTTTTTTTTCCTATGCTTGCAAAGAAAAATTACTGTGGTTAATTAAAGTGAAATATTATATCTTTCTTTCTTTTATTAAAAAAATAATAAAAATAGTAGAATAGAAAATTAGTTTGCCTTCAATTTTGGAATAAATAAGAATTACATTCTACATTTATTATTAATCTTTCACTTGTTTAGCCTAATAGGTGTTCGGTTTTCCCAATGAAAAAAAAAAAAGAAACAATTTTATTTTTTCTTAATGATCTCAAATATTCAGCAAATCTTTCTTTATAATTTTGTGGTGTTTAGGGGATCTGATTTTATCAAAACTCGATGTGATTCTAATATAATTAAATATATTTAACATACGATTTTTATGATTTGAATTCGATTATAATTTGAATCTGTTATTTTGTTTATCTAATAAACTAAATACGAATCTATCTTAATCTAGTCTAATAATAATCTAATTTCAAATTAATATTAATATTAATATTATTTCTAATAAATATAATATTTTAAAAATATGAAAATATGGCAATGGCACTAGGTTTAGATTTAGAATTTATTTACTAAAAAAAATATTTTATGAAGAGTTTTATATTTATGTTTCTTATTTTTTGTATATTGATTGTTATTCTTTCAAATAATTACATAAGATTTTTTATTTTCATCTCCTTTCGAGTCTCAAATTAAATTTGTAAAAAATCATATTAATGTATGAAAGAAAATTACTCAATGAGTTGTTCCTATATTATATTTGTGTTTCTAATTTGTAAAATTTTGACCCAATCAAAATTTTTATTTTTATACTTGTCATTTATTAAAAAAAAAAAGAATTTTATTTAATACCAATCAAGTTGTGCCTAAAATAGGTATTTTTGTTTTTTATTTTATTTTTTATAATTTTATCATACTTTTTATCCAACTTAAATTAGCTTTGACCTTGAACAAAAATTTATATCGTGATTATTTGATTTTGTTCTTTTCCACAACGAGAAGTTTGGATTTTTATAACTAACATATTATATATTATCATAATATATTTTCATATACATGCAATACTTGAAACTCAATTTTTCTTTGAAAAAAAGTAAAAGATAAATTCAATATATATTCGAATCCGATCCAAATCCCAATCGACAATTGCAAAATCCAAATTCAAATTCATAAATTCCCGTTTGATTCATTTATTAAACAAACAAACATATAGAAGTTCGAACTTTTTTTTTTTTTGCATTCATTGGAAGGCCGTTGGGGCTTTAGTTAAATACTTTTTCTTTGAATAAAATTAAATGATAGATCTGATGGATATTCAAATAACAATTGCACAATCCAAATTTAAACTCATAAAATCCAATTTGATCCAATCTGAATGTGACCCTTTGATAGTTCTATTGGAGTTAGAACTTTTTTTTTTTTTTTTGGTTCATTAGAAGGCCCAACCAGTGAGGAGTAACTCTACTGTTACGTAATACTGAAGTCGCTTCAGACTTTTGAACTGGTATTTTAAGACTAAAATTAAATTGTAACTCAATATTTATTTATGCTCTTGAGGGATTGCCTCAAATGATAATGAAAAGACTCATCCAATCTAAAGGTCTTAGGTTTAACTCCAGCCATTATTTTTTTTTAGAGAAATACCATAACTACGTACAATTAGCTTCTTCGCAGAAATATTCTAAATTTTAGTCCCGAAATAGATGCAGTGGAATTCCTCCGGATGCGTGTTAGCGTAAAAGGTGCAAAGTTTCTATCAGACGTATGGAAGATCTATGACAGGAATTGTACCATGAAGGAAAGAATTCTAGCCCCATTATTAGGGAGATGGAAGGCCACAAACCATGTGCTTACCAATAGGAATCAGGCTGCACTTGATGCTCTGCAATAGCGAACTAGCCAGCCCAGCTCATTTGCCTCTGATGGAAGCTAGTAGCAAGCATTCAAAGTTTACATGAGCTGTAAAACACCTGTTCTTCAGGGTTTGAAAACGAGGGTACTTGTTCTGTTGTTCATAGTTGATACGGGTGAATGTAGAAGAACAACAACATTGCAATATCTTCACCCTGTTTAGCAGAGAAGCAATCGTGATGTGCAAAAAAATTCCTTTGGCTTGACATCGAATATTATACAATATGAGATACAACAAGATGACACATTCAGGGGCACATAACAGGAACCAATGTTCCGAAGGATTGTTGTGTATATAGAAGTTTACATGAACCCAGAGCATCAATAACTGGGTTTTATCTCCGTAAATTGGAGGAAGAATGAACTTAGAGAAGTTTATGAGGCACAATTGCAAATGCCACTTCTGAATTTGTATTGCAATAGTACAGAATTAGTACACAATAGCTGGTATTCAAAATGGCTGAATATGCAATTAAAAATTTCCCATATGGTTCGAACTCAGGATGCAAGCAATCAATCCTCAATTGTGGCTGAAAGTATTCCTGAATCCAAAACCTAATCATTGAGGAAGAACTGGGGGTGCAATTGTGCGGGTATTGTATGATTTGCAGTGGTTGCATTTCTGCCCGATTATGTGGAAATAAACTTCAGTAGTGTCATTGCAGTCATTGCATAGGATCCAGACCTGCAAATTAATATAGTACCAACTGTAGTAAGTTTATTCCGGCAATACCGATGTGTATTCAATCATATGAAACAAACCTGATGGTAATGTCTACAAAAGTTTTTAATGCAATTGGAAAATAAAAACACCTAACCATTATCTTTTTTCGACACATTGGAAACTTCATGTAACTCTATCAAGTTCTTTTCCTAACAGTGATGAGTACATTATAAGATAAAATGCCCAAAGCCATAGCCATTCTCAATCTTAGACACATAATATCGCCCATCGATTCAACATCATAGTTCACACAAGCAGGTTGTGCGATTAATGCCATGGCACTGTTTAAATGCAATTGAATATAAAGGGTAAACTAACTGAGAAACGAAAAAGAAAAACTAGGTTAGAAGGATGAAAAGTATCTGTGCACCTTCCTGTGACGGTAATCCTCGGGCATGACAGTTGCTTCTATCTGACAACATGTTGATAACAAACCAGTATTTTAATATAGTTGATGCAGGGTTACAGTGTTATAGCAAGCAAGATAGAGAGTGTTGACAAAAACTATCAGTTTAGCATCTATACATTTAAGCTCAAATTTATATAAACCTACCTCCTCATCTATTCTCTTCCAGGCTTTAGACATGTCAATTATTGACTTGGAGCATATGGGACAGCAGTATCTGGGCGAATATTACCAATTCAATCAGAACCAAATTTTGAAACGTGAATCACTAAAGCTATAAAAACAACTGAAGGCTGCTTACTTGTCACGCTTTACCATCTCATCGCGGCATTCACCATGCATGGTGTGCCCACATTTCATTACAGCAGTTTCTTTTAGTGAATCAAATAAGTACTGCAGAAAAGAAAAAAAAAAGGGATGGAAATATCAGTATAACAGAAGGAAAAAAAGAAAAAGAAGACGAATTTACTTCTTCACACAATTAAGGCAATTAACCAACCTCATAACATATGGGGCAATGATGACGCATAGAGTTCTCCACACACAAATGATTATCACGAAGGCTGGTTGCATAGCAAGAACCTGCACACTTATTAAACGTAATTGGCATGCAAGAAAGTCTGGAAATGGAAAAAAGGAAAGCTTTAAAACCATATGTATGCAATCTATAGTTAAGTGACAGTCAAAACTATTGATGAAGAGGTCCATCAGTAGAAGTATCAAAGAGAGGTGTGGAGGCATATTGTTCTCGAAAAGGTTATGTGTGTGTGTGTGGGTATGCACGAGGAAAAAAATATTAAACACTGTAACCAATCATCGAGATCATCAGATTCCAACTGTTGAGAACAGCAAAGCCAAACGGTAGTGAATGCATACCACACTTCTTGCAGTGAAAATAATTATCACGACCACCAACTCTGTTTTGGACCATGAACAAACACAGAAGTTTAATTTTGTGACTTCCTTGAAAATTATTCAGAAGATAGAAACAGGATAAACTGATCAAACTAGCTCACTCACCTACAGATACCACAATCGTCACAATGGAACTGTTCTTTCGCAGTCTGTAGCAAATATAACCATATCAAGTTAACATCAACTGCTAATATTAAACAAGGACCATTCATCAAAAATCAAATCTCAATCAAGTAATAAGAAGATAAAAGTGACAACTCTATAACAATAAAAAGCAAATGTTCTGACAGAAAAAAAGAAAAAAACCAATTTCAATAGACCAATTCTGAGAAATCAATTTCAGAAGGTGAAATTACATCATCATCAAAGAATTTGCAAATTTCGCAGAAATATTCTCCCATATTTACACCGCAGTTTGTGCAAACTTGAGCAACCTGGAATACAAGTGAAATCGAATAATATATCAAAGACAACAAAGATCAGAATATATAAAAAAAAAAACAACAACAAGATAACTTCAATTACAAATCAGAAATAGACATACTGGCTGCTCTGTGTCACAAACTGCACATATAACCTGAAACATCAATACAAAACACATCTCTCACATCGATACTAATTCATAAACCAGAAGCTTAAAGAAAAAAAATCTAAAAATATCAATATTGCATAACAAAAATCGATAGAGGTTTATAGCATACTTGCTTGACATCACATCGATTGAGCTCGTGACGATCGAAGAGGTTCTTCAACATGTTCTAATAAATCAAAGATAACAAATAACCCCATATCAATACAAGACTCAATCATTAACAGTTTCAAGCTTAAAGGAGAAGAAGTGGCAAGAATATTGCTCTAAAAGAATCAATCAAGGATAAATGAGTTACTATAACAAATACAAAGAGCATATTATATTAAACTTTCAGACTAAAGACAGACGAACAGAATACAAAAATCTTGCTGAAAATGCTCCAAGAAAGCCAATCCAGATCAATAAACCTTAAACAGATGGAAACATGGAGCACAACAAAGACGAAGATATATATATATTATAATACCGTGGCCTCATTGTGACAATGGCGACAAGTGAAGATCTCGTTGCAACATGGAGCCCGAATCCTGCACCTTCTCCTGTAATGTTGGCATCTACAAAAAACATTAAAAGCAAAAAAAACATTAAGAAAAAAAAATACCAAACCAACAAATGGAAGAAGAGAAAATTTTAAGAAAGAAAAAGAGGGAGAAAGGAAAGGTACCCATAACCCATCTTTCCAAAATCAAGACGATCATTTGATACAGGACTGGCTTCCATGAGTTATGGAGAAATGGATTATAGATAGAGAGGATGGAAATTGAAGAAATAAAGAGAAACAAAGAAGCACGAATGACCAGAGGTACACAAAGGACTTACCTGATTTGGGAAGGATGGGGGTGGCTTTGTCTTTATCCCAACCAAATCACGAAAACAAATGTTTTTTTAAGTGATCCACTGACGTACTTTTCCTTTTTCTTTTCTTTCTTTCTTTTTTTATAGTTTGACCCCTCTTTTCTTCTAAGTAATATTAATATTAACCTCCCTATAATTTTTTATTTGAGCGTAAGAATATTATCGGATAAATTTATGCATCCACAAATACTAAATTTTTATTACGTGCATTGATATAAAATGTTTTTATTTAAATATTCAGGATATTTTTATATTATCTTTGATACATGAATATTAAATTCCCCCATAAATTCCTTTTCACCATCCCTCTTAGATTTAACTAGCTAGTTGCTCGCGCTACGCTGCGGGTCTAGTAAAACAAAATCATTTTAAAATTTTAAAATTTTTTAATTATAATTTTTATTCAATCAATTTTTTTCTAATGTTTTTTATAAAATTTTTCTTAAAAAAAACATAAATCATTTTTCTTTACGAATTGATTTTAACTAAAATATTAATCAAGAATTAAAAAATTAAAAAATATATTTTTTATAATATTTTATTACAAAAAATAAAATTATAATTAATTGATAGACTTTTATGAAAAGTAACAAATTAAAAAAAATATTTAATGCCGATGAGAAGATTAATTTTTGAAATTATCCGCCAACACTCGTTGGTATATAAAAAAAAATTATTTCAAAATTTTATAATTTTTTTATTAATTTTTTATTTAATTATTACTATTTTTTTCGTTTTCATAAAAATTTTAAAAATTCTAAGAATTCATGATATATATTATATCAATTTATTTTTAAAAACAGAAAAAAATCATGTTTTAAGATTTTATTCTAAAATTCGAACATAGAGTAAAATAAATTATATTTATCAATAAATAAAATTATATATAAAAATATTAATTGGATGAGAATTTTCATTAAAATAAATAAATTTAAATAATAAAAGTAATATAAGCTAAAGTAAATGTTAATTTTAAAAAATAAAAAGATAATATATATATAATCGTTAGTTTGTGTAAAAAAAAGTGACGATTAATTTTTAAAAATTTTAACACCTAATTAGATAAAAAAAAACACAAATTGATGAAAAAAAGCAAAGGAAAAAAAACCAAAGAAAAAAAAAGAAAAGAAAAGGCATGTAGTGCATGAGCTAGGGATTAAAATTTTAATTTTAAAATTTTAAGGATCAAGATGAAATAATTTAAAAATTACAAAAAAAATACCTAAGAGTGAATAGTACATCATGAGGGTAACACCCAATTAAAAAAAAAAACATAAATTGATGAAAAAAACAAAAAAAAAACTAATAAAATAAAATAAAACGTAACAAAGACATGAGTAAACAAGTACATTATGAAAGGGTAAAGAATATTATCACTGTTCAAAAACCTCATCTCTTTTAGTTTATTAGTAATAGGTAATTGATTAATTCATGACAATGGCTCTTATAAGTCATGAGCCTAAAATCAAATTCATAAATACCTATATTGCTTCTCTCTCTGTTTTTTTTTTTTAATCAATTTGGTAGCTTATTTTTAAAATGGTCCTTTTGCTTCTTTTTTTTTTTTTAATGAAAACCCCCTTTAAGATACAAAATCGTGAATAGAAAAAAAAAAATTGAAGAATATTTCGAGATATAAGAATTTATAAACATGATTTTTAGTGTTCGTTGACTAATCAGAGAAATTGTCTGATAGGGGACAAATTAACCGATTAACCCTAGATTCAAAACAAAAATTTTGTTACCAGTCAACTCCTCGATATTGATTTGGAATGAGTTTAAGAATAATTAAGTTTTTTGGTGCTAAGGAAAAAACAAAAAACAAAAAACAAAAAGGGAATTAGCAAGGGTGGTTAAAGCTTGCGCCCCAAATAGTGCAAACTGAAGATTAATCTTCCACCTTTGAGGGGGAGGAGGCAAAGACTTGTTTAAGGGGGAAAAAGGTTGTATATTTATATTTATAGATAAGAGAGTATTTTCGAGTTAATTTTCTTGTGAATCGAAATTAAGTTTTCTTATAAATCGAAATTAATTTCACAACTTTTTAATATAAATTAAACACTAAGTCCATTACTTATCACTTTTTAAATTAAATTGACATCACGATACATTTAGTTTTTATTAATTACTATAATGTTTTTTAAGTCAAATCAATTATATTAACTAATTATTCGTAAATGATGAAAATTAAACTTTGATATTTATTAAACTAAGACAAAGTCTTTTACTCTTAAACTGAATTCCTTAGTGGCAATGTAAGAATATTAATATTAATATTTATTAAAAGAGCACGTGACATGAGGTAAATAGTAAACTCTCTCTCTATCTTTTACAAAAAAAACATGAAGCGTATATACATTTAGGACAAAAATCCAGCTGCAAGGAATAAAATTTATAATAATTAATTTTAGTTTTGCCGTTGTCAATTTCATTGAATAAGTTAATTTTAATGCATGAAACATAATTTAAAAAGTTTGATTCCTACTTCTTTGTAGATAAATATTTTTAATTATTGTTTCAAATCGAATAATGTAACTAATAGATGAATGCAAGGTCATGGAGGGATGTAATCCGGTAGTAAATAAGGTGAGTGATCCTGTCAAGGAACTATAGGTCAATCTCTAAGTGCCACCTTTAGATTGCCAACCATTTAAATCCTTTTTTTTTTTTTTATCTGTTTAATGGATTGGAAATATTAAAGAGAACCTATAAGATTGAGTATTCTAGGACACATGCTCAATCTATTTAAATATATATGATCTGGTCGTAGCAATCCAAATAATGGAGGACTAGTTTTGGTAGTCAAAATCTCGACTAATAAATAAATTGTTTAATATATTATTATATAATATGGTGAGTTTTTAATTTATTTTTATATTTTTAATTGAATTTATTATGTTTTTGTATAGTGTCAAATTATTCAATTAGTTCTTATAAAATTTTTTGTATAAATATTCACATATAAATCACATGTGTAGAAAATAAAAGACAAATATGTAATATATCGCAATATTTTTAATTATGTTTAATATGATTTTTAATAATATTCAATTCTGTAATATGTTTTTCAATCAAAATTTTCAATTCAAAAATTGTTATTGAGCTTATATATAGTAAAAGAGAAAATCAAAATTATATATTCTACCATTTATTAAAAAAAAAAACAAGAAGATGAATTCATTATCAATTAATTAATTGTAGTAAACCAATCTGAAAATAAGTAGCATAGTCCAATGCTCAGAGTTTTGATAAAAAATTATGAAACATGTAGAAAATTGTAATTTCTCGGTGATAATAATGGGCATTTAACAGGGCATGTTAGCCCACGAGGAGGAGAGAGGGGCAAGGGATAAGATGGTGGGGTTGTCAGCAGCAGGTGGTGACTTAGATCCAAAGGGAAAGGCGCCGCAATCTTGACCAATTGGAAATCGCAAATCGCCACAAAAAAACAGCAACCGTCGTGGGCATTTTCACAAACAGTTACAAGACCCATATTATTGCCCAATACTTTCAGTATATTATTATCTTTCACATAGAAATCTAGATGGATCTCTATTTTATATGGGTAAAAGATAAAGAAACTGTTTTTTTGAAGAGCTTTGCATGATCTTGTTCATTTCCAGTTGTCCTAACTAAAAGGAAAGAATATGCTTAGAGTTCTGTGCGTTAGCAGTTAAAATTGGAATGCCCATACAAAAGAACTTCCAAGTTGCGCTTATTATTAAAATATGGTCTTCAAGAGGGAGGCACCATCAGATTTGGTAGCTAGGGTTCCATCTACAAAAGTGTAAATGCATTTCCTTTCTTAAAATATTTCAGCTTGGATGACGATATTGGCCCGTTTGTTCTTTCAATTATTATCAGAGAAATTAATGGTGGATATATATATATATATATATATATATATATATATATATATATGTTTCTTGTTCGAGTAAGAAGGATGAAGAAAGGGATGACGGAAAGGGTAAGGTGGAAGGATGGAAAGAAGTATATATGAAAGTTGAGTTTGGTTGATCAGGCACTAAACACTGGGAATATGTATCTTTAAGTTGCTTTGCCTTGAAAAAAGAAGGATATGAATTGGATGGACTATAAACATCATGCCCAGTAATATGATTACAATTTACAACCTAAAAATATAACCCACATTTTTTTTTTTTTTTTTTTTTTTTTTTGGTGTTTTGGTGTTGTGTGTGGGGGTGGGGGTGTTGGATAAAAATAATAATAATAATAATTAAGAGGGAGAAGAAAATATATGTTTGCTATGGTTACATTCGATTTTACTATAAAGCTCTCAATGCATTAATTAAGTTTATAAATACTTTTTAATTCCTGATGATTTATTTACAATTTAAATAATACTTTTTTACTCTGAGCTAATAAAAAAAAATTTTTTAATCAAAATTATACTTAATTGTTAATAACTATTATGACTACCGAATAAAAGTTAAATTATAAAAAGATAATATAGTATTTGTATGATATAATAAGTAAATTATTTAACAATTTGTTACTGCTTAGTTAAAACAAATTGAATAATATTTATTTATTTTTAAGCATTAATTTCCTTTTTCAATGTAAAAATATACTTTTTGAATAATAATTCTATTGTAGTTTTAGTAACTAATACAATTATTGAATAATTAGTTTAAGCTATAAAATAAAATTTTATGCTACCATAAATAAAAGATAGAAATATTAAAATTATAATGTCTTCAAATAACCATAAAAATTGCCCAAGAAAACAGTGTTATCCCTTAATCAGGACACGATTATACAAGTACAACAGAAGGGAAATTAAGGGAACAGAATACAGATAACAGACCTCAATGAGACAACCTTAAACCAGTGAATATGCCCGATTTCTCCTAATTGCTAGCTCAATACATGCCTAAAAATAAACCCCCTTCGTATATGATCTGCCGGTAGACCATCTCAGCATCCAGATCACAACAGAAAAAACGGTTTTATACCAGGAAAAAGCTATAGAAACCATATTACAACCATGCATGGTACGTTCTCAATCCAAACAAGAACGCAGACATCTCAAAAGTTGGTCTCTCCCTCCATTATATTAAGAAGGGGAGAGAACTCTCGTTGCCTGCATACCTCTTCATTTCCCTTTAGAAATTCAAGAAAATGGGCTGTGGAGAATCAAAACATGATGTCGTAGCAGGAAACACCATCAATCGTATGAAATCAGATTTCGGTAGCAACAGAAGCAAAGACATAGAACCTGCAGTCAAGGAAACAAGCTCCCAAGATAGCAACGCAAACATATTGGCCGAACAAAAGGAAAAGCAAATTGCTAGCAAAGAGTCATCAAAAGAGGCTGTTGCCGTTGTTCAAGATGTAAATGTAGAGGCTGTTGCTGGTGTTAAGGATGCAAATGTAGCGGGTGTTAAGGATTCCATTGTAGAGGCTGTTGTTGAGGTTAATATGGATGTGAATGTAGCGGGTGTTCAGGATGCCAATGTAGAGGCTGTTGCTGATGTGCAGGATGCAAATGAGAATGAAGAATTGAAGCAAGGAGGAAAAGATGTGGAGACAAAAGAAGAAAGTGTTGTTGAAAAGCAGGAACCAGGAAAGTTGATCGCAGAAGAGTCGCCAAGTAATGTCGTTTCATCGACGAAAGATGAGGATGTTCAAGGAATTGTGACTGAGGAAAGGTGCGAGAAGGAGAGTTTGCCCAATGGGAGTGGAAAATTGGATGATGTTGCCAAGGAAATATTGGTTGAAGAAACAAAACAAGAAACAGAAAATGGTTTGTAAACTCAAGACAGCTTAACTTTAAATTAGAAACATTCGTTATTAGTATCTTGTTATGATTTTAAATTGATCTGCTTGCAAATGAACAGAAGAACCTCAAGTCGTGAAGCAAGAGATCACTGACGAAGCAGCAAAACCTGCCACAACTGTTGAGCCAGAAGTTGCAACCCCCCTGCGAAGGAGGAGGAGAATTCCCAGGTCTAATATTGTTACTGCATGGAAGAAATTCAAATGAACTAACAGAACACAACTTTTCTGCAAGATAAGTTGGTACGAAGGTTCACCAAGAAAGGATTTGAAGACGACTTAAAGAAAAACCAGGATATGTGAAACGTATAGCCGTGTGCACTGTTTTTCTAGCTTATGTAGCAGTTTGTGACATCCAATGAAAGAATTTCATCAGAACTTTCAAGATCAATCATAAATTTGTTATTCTCTTCTCATTTTTCCTGTTTTTTGGTTTGTAAAAATTATGGTGTACCTTGCTCCATTGCCGAGATGATCCATTCATTTTCTTCCCAGCTATTTTAAAATTTAATCCACATTTCTGTTTTTTATCAATCTCAAATTCTCAATTGACTCAAGCGGACGGTAGTTGTACCATTTCAATAAAGTACTCAGATATTCAACAACACCGGCTACAGCAAAACTTAATGTCAAAATCAAACATGAGGAGGTGATGAGAAAATAAAATACCTGTAATTAGCATCCAAAATTCCTGAAGGTGAACTCTGAAATAAGTAGAAATAAGGGCGTGGAATTTAAAACGCGGAAGTTGCCAAAACACAAGGTGCATGGTCATACCTGCCAAGTGTTAACCTGTAATTCTCTTGAATGAAATGGAGCTCTTTGCATGAAGGTTAGCAACCATCAAGTCATGTAACAGGAGGATGAATCTACGTGCTCTTTTTCTCTGTGACCATTGTTCTCAACAATATGTTTTTAAATCGATGGAATTAAAACCCAGGGAAAAGAAGAGTCCAGATAGGTACACATTCAACTGAAACCAATTAGGGAACATGTTGTCATGTTGATGAAGAAATGAGAAAACAGCATTCATGTCTTCGAAGGTTAGAAATTGGTCTAAAGACAAAAAAACGAAAGAATTATTCTATCTTGATGACCTATGTGCCAAATGTAATAGTGGGCAGACATGTTTGACCTAAAATATTTTCTCCTATGTCTGCAAGTCCACAAACTAGGATGCGTAGTTCAAGTCCTGGGTTTGCACAACCCACTGATAAAACTCCAAGCCCGTTTACAGCTTCTCACAAGTTCATCCAGATTAATTCTCAGCATTAACTGCTCTTACAGGATTTATATCTCTATATGAACCCAAGATGGAATTCACTTAAAATTTCAGTTCATCAACGGTAGTCCACGAGAAGCACCTATTCAACCATCCAAATTCAAATGGAAATATAGCCATTGCACAAAACCCCTGTAGAAAGGGCAGGGACACATACGAGAACGGTTGTTCTAATAACGTGTCTTTATATTAACAGGGTTTACAATGTACAAATCAATGTCTATATACAGAAAGCCCTCCTCGAGAATGCCAACAACAATGGTCATCAGCTACACCTTCAAAGAAGGTCTCCAAAGAGAAAATCAAGAGGAACTTATTTGAGGAGAGAAGTCCACAACTGGCCTCTTAGCCAATTTGCAGGAGAACTCACATTCTCAATTCTAAACATGATCTTCCCCAACATTCATCTCTGTTTTCATTCTCAGAATAGAATCTCTCGACAAAACAATATTTCCTTTGAGATCTGTTTTGCCATACTCACTGACAAGAGAATCCATCACAATTCCACAAGATCTCCATGACTCACACATCAACTCAACACCAAAATAAACTAAATGGTCTGCAATACTGTTACCTGCCACCGACCTGCACATAAAATTCAAAGCTAATGAGCTTAGCAACTTTTTGGAGAAGAATCTCTCTTAAACTGTGTTAACTATATAATAATTTCTACTCATCTCAAAGATCATTTGAGAGGAAAGCCTACCTGCTACAGTCTGGGTCTTCACCAGAACCATCACAGACCACCTCCACTTGATAAACCAGACTTCCCACTCCAATGTTATGCAGCCAAACCTTCAATTAAGAGAAAGGTTATTAATGTTTTAAAAAGATGATAAAGGCTAGAGCATGCGCATGATGATTCCGAGAGAAATTTTCTGTACAACTGAAATGCATGATGTTTCCTGGAGAAATTTCTGTAAAACTGTAAAGCTAAATGTGACTCGACTAGGCATTTGACTAAGCACAGAATTGCCTGGTTCCAAAATCTCAGGATACAAGGACAAGGCTAAATTGTCAGGGGGCAAATAGCATATGTGCATATTTTAATAGAAGACCCAACATGTCCAATCTAAGCATCAAGATCAATAGACTGATTTGTAGTTGTGCAGACTTCATAAAAATGGAATTACTCAGCAAAGTTGTATGCCTTGACTAAATTCCATTGTATTGCAATTATTACCTCTCTTGGGAAGTGGTGGTATGTCTTTTGACGGAAATAGCGATAGTATGGAGGCAGATGTGGTACAATATCATGTTCATTTGTGACTCGGATTGTGTTTGGCACAAGTTGACTGTAGTAAGATGCAAAAGCTGCATTGCCAACCCGAGGCTGTCCAAATGTCATCACCTGAACATTCTTGGCTTTGGTATTGACCTGGAGATAGACAAATACATTTTCAATACCGTTTCAATGGCATCAACAACCGACCTTGCAAATAAAACTTTAATAGTAATATCATCGAAGTAAAGGCTCAACAGACTAGAAAATACACAATTCAACACCTATAAAAATTTGTTTCCGCGTGTGATATGTGCTTGTTTCAAGAAAAGGTTACTCATAATTACCATCAAATCAAGTCCACAAAACGATGCCATGGCCCCTCCCATTGAATGCCCTGTCACCATGATGTCAAGATCCCCATAATACTCCTTTGCTCTTTCAACAGCATTTAGTATTCCAGGGCGAATTGTTGAATTGTGATATGCAGTATAAAATCCATGGTGCACCTAAAACCAAAGAAAAGGAATAAAGATCGAATTATAAACTCCCACATAAACCTGATCAACAAATTCAGAGAAACTTGAAATACACACCATTGCATCAGGCATGCCAGGGTAATTTACATCAAGTTGTTTCCAGTATAAGTCTTCGATCCAATTCTGTATGCTGTAAGTTAAACCATTAAAAAGCAGTCAGCTATAGTTCCTGGAGTCTAGAACTAACCTAGCCAACTTAGGCCTACTTCATAAAAATATGAAATCAAATCCATATCAAGTTCCTTTTTGCACTATCTGTGCGCATCAAGAGCTTATTTGATGATACTAATCGAGCATACATCATGAATAAGCAACAAGGATAATTGAGCATCAAAGACTTGTAGTTGGTTGTTGGATTCTTGTCTTGAGGACCAACAAGTCAACAGATGACATCAAATTCAGTATGGGGACTCTTTCGGTGGTGTGTAGACTAAGTTATGAAAACAATGCTTGTCACTTTTCCATCTTTCTCACTTGATGAGATTCAAACCTCTTATCAATATTTGACAATGAAATACATACATAAAAATCATATTGATTTAAATGAGCTACATACACTAGCTACCAAAACTGGCCACGTGCAATGAACTCTATACATCATTAACTAGTCAATTTTCTGGACACCACAAAATTTATGCATGTACAAGAAAGAAAAATATTGATGTGAAGTCATATGATTTTGTTTAGTTGTGTGCTAGCCATGCATTACTGTTTGAATGTTCACTGCGCAATGTAGGAATCATATTTTGATATTTCACAATTTAACATTTGTGTTTTATGCGCTCTGGGCAGCTCAGTTGACCACACAGCCAGCTGGCAGAAATTGCAACCAAACCCCTTTAACAGTTAGTTTAAGAATCTTGGTTCAATGCCAACATAAGCATATGACATACCTGTGTTCCTGAGTTCCTCTAAAGGCAATAACAATAGCAGTAAGATCCTTTGCAACTCCAACAAATGACTATATCCAGTCATCATAGCATTAGAATTTGAGACAAAAGAACCAAAAAAAAAAAAAAAAAAAAAACGCTATGAGGTTATAATATCAGAATAAAGCAAAGGGATCGTGATCCATTCTTTTTAATCGATACATGCAAGAGTACTAATAAATGTGCACCTGTAAGCAGTGCTCAACATCAACAATCAGCTCTATAATCTCAAATCCCTGTTTCCATACAAAGTTGTATTAGATCAATTTTGTAAGAATCAAAACCTGATTGAAAACGCCAGGCCAAAAATGTTATGACTTATAAAAGTACCTCAGTCAAACCAGAACACCTCGAACATGTCCAAGTAAACAGTTGAGTCAAATCTGACATATATACCTGCAGCAGCAACCAAATAACTTATTAATCAATAAGAACCCGTCCCGTTAACCACTGGTTTTGAGTTTTGTGCTATTCACAACTTACCGCAGAGGCATACTCAACCAATATCTTGGCAAGAGTGTGATTGTAACCGGTTAGATGATGATCTACATGCTTATGCTCGACCTTAAGTTCTGAAGCAAAGAACAAACCCTTTTTCAGCATGCATTTTATTTTATAATTCCAGACTCAAATAAGCCTCAATTCTTTCTTATACTCGGAAAATAATAAGTCTTTAGATACGGCATAAAACAAAAGAAAAAATAATAATAATTCACTGTCAATTCCAAATTTGAATTAATCACACATTCTTGACCTAGAAACTTGTGCAATTTTCCTTAACGTAAACAAGATAGTAATAAATTAATGTTTCAAATTTCCATAATTACCTGTTCCACAAGAGAAAGCAAATAGACATACAAAAGTTGCCAAAATGAACCACCTTCTTCGCCCCATACACTCTGCAGTAACAACCCAAAACAATCAATCAATTAATCGGTCAAAATTAAAACATACAAGCTATATGAAAAACAAAAATTAAGCCAAAGAAGGGACCTGGTGGACCCGCTACAACCATGAATTCGGAGCTCCGATTTTACTATCTCCGGCGACCGTACGATTATATTTGAAGGAAAGCAACCTTGTCGTGTTTTTGGATGAAATAGAGAGTTCGAAAAGTCAAATATGTAAGTGGATCAATTAAGATAGAAGACAGGAGACGAGGGAAATAATAATGATAGAGAGGGGATCGTCAAAGAACAAAAACGAATTTATTTTAGTTCGTTCGGTGATTTATTACCTATACTGCCCTTTGCATTTCTTTTTTTTTTTTTTTTCCTGGTTTTCCAATCGAGTTCGGAATTCTATAGGATTCTTGGGGCTATTTTGGTAATTGGAACGTCCGTTATAACGTGCAAGAACTGCAGGTGATTTGTCTTTATACGCAGCATAGGATTGGATTGGATTGAATTTTCTTCCATTTTCTTCTTGTCAATTTATTTATTTATTTTATATATTTAATTATGTGTAATTCGGATACTCTTATTTGTGTGCTTGCTTGCTTTTGCCACGTGTTTGAAGTTGATTTCGAATGGACGTTGCACGTCACTCGTACGAGGGTTGTATATTTTAAATATAATCGAAAAATCAATGGTTATTTTTTCTATATAAATTGACAATTAAATAATATATATGATATTTTTTACATTTATATGATATTTTTTTAGATTTTAGAATAAATATAAACTACTCTTACCATTTAAAATTAATTTTTTCAATTAAAATTCTCATCAAGTTAATTTTTATTCTTAATTTTTATAATTTTATTTATTAATAAATATGACTTATTTTCTCTATGTATGGATTCGAATAAGTATTTTTTATACCTATTTTTATTTGCTTAATTCTTATATAATCAAATTTTAAAAATCGAATATATGTATTTTATTTTCTTATTTTTTATATAATCAAATTTTATTAAAATCAGCTTTTATAGTTTTTACCGCACTCTATTAACTTCAATATGTTCTACCACTAGAGTGTCAATTTGTGAGTCTATTTGAATTTCATTGAGTTCTAATTTGATTCCATTGTTTCTAGCATCCACAAATTCCTTCCCAAAGAATATAGTATGCCTAGTTACGAACAACACTTTCTTCTAATGGTAGGACAATGATATCCATTCATTTCCTTTTGGATATTTCACAAATTTGTACTTTATTGATTTGGGCTTTTGCTTGTCTTCATCAAACTGTTTGTCATATGTTTTATGGCCCCAAATTTAAGAAAAGCTAAATTCATTTTCTTTCCTTTTCATATCTCATGTGAAGCCTAATCAAATAGACTTAATTAAAACCTTATTTTAGGTAAAGATTGTAGTAAAGAGTATCTATCCCAAAATAAAATGCGGATATTAATTTCACTTATCATGGATCAAAACATGTCTAACATGTGATATCCATTGATAGAGAATCTCATTCTTTTATAGATGATCTAAAAATTTAGCACTTAAGTATTTATCACTTCGATTTAATCGAAATGCCTTAATACTTTTGCTAGTTCGTTACTTGACTTTAAGTCTAAATTCTTTGAACTTTTTAAATGCTTTAGAATTGAGTCTTATAACTAAAACATGATCTACTATCGGTAAGGGTTATAAAATAATCATGTCCTTCTTTTATATAGGTGAACATAAGCTTAAATACATCTCTATGTGTAAGGTCTAACTAATTAATAGTAGTTTCTCATTTTTTACCGAAAGAGGATCAAGTATCTTTGTTAACAAAACAAGATTCATTAGATATCATCGAATGATTCTATATATCTATTTATAAATAGATTTGATATTAGATTCTTGTTTATAGGACTAAGTTGACAATGCCATAAATGTGTGTCATTTTTAGATCATTTGATTCTTTTAGAGTTTATGTTACATACATGGGAGTCGGATTGTGTTCAAAATATACAATTATCATTAATTAAAAATTTTCATATAAAACCTCATCTTTAAAAAGAATAACCATTATTCTTAAATAAAATGAAAAACTTATTCCAAATAAGAAGATAAAAATAATTTCCTTAGTTTATACAAGGAATAATAACAATAATTAAAATCGTTGAGCCTTAACACAAGCCGGTATGGTAGTTCTAGCTCAAAAATGCCTATAACTAATTATCCAACTCTTAATCCACTCGCGATCGTATAGGTCATGCTCCCTTGAAAGCTATCTTCTTTCCTTTTTTAAGCTCCTGTATATTTCAAAAATATGAGCACCACATATAGTATCACATACCCGTGAGGTAGGATTAGAAATAAAAAAATTAGCTTTAATAACATAAATACCTAAGGTGGTTGTAGAACTCTTCTTCTTCACCTCTTCGGTACTCCTTACGGTTGCACTTCTAATAACCTTTCTTGTTGCAATGAAAACAGATCGCATCCTTTGGGCTATTCCGAGCCTTGAGCTTTTTCACCTCTTTAGTACACGAGTTGAAGACTTCTTCTTTTTTGCTTGGGCTTTTTCTTATCGTTCACCATGCTTTTTCCTTATTAAAAAAAAGTACAAAACTCTTATTCTTCTTGTTAATTTCGAGTCGAGCTTTCCTTAGCATGGACAACAACTCTCCATGAGTCTTTTTCATATGCATAATGTTAAAGTTCATGATGAACTATCCAAAGTTATTAGGCAATGATTACAAATACTAGGTCAATGGATAATTTAGTATCAATTCTAACGTCAAGCTCGACCGACTTGTCGATATAGTCTATCATCTCAATGATATACTTTTCGATATTGGATCCCTTATCCATTCGACTCTAAAGAGCTTCCTTGCTATCTCATAGCACTCATGTCTAGTATTCTCCTCAAAAAGCACTTAAGCTTTACTATGATATCAAAGGTGTTAATGCTTTTATGTTGCTACATATGTTCCGAGCATCATAGTAGCCAACATGATGCTCTAAGCGACGTTTACATCATCTCTATGTTTAAGCCATGTTGTATAAGCTTTATCTTGATTTCGAGTATGCTCGGCTAGGAGAGGAATCTCTATCATATAGAGAATCTTCTCATGTTAGACTATCCTCGGATTCATTTCTCGATCAAGGAAGTTCATGCCATTGAAGGCATTACTTCCATCAATAATCAATCATATCGATGTATTGTCGGTCATACTCGTACAATCTTACAAGATAAAAAACATACGATTTGGTTAATTGAATTGCATAAAATAAAATAAAAACATAAATTAAAGAATTAAAATCTTTGTTAACTCCTAATATTTTCTTTAAGTTCTATAACCTTCAATATAAAACGTGAGAAAAATTTTTGATTCGTTTTCTTTAGAGGGTTTTGGATCTCATCCTTTAATATGCATTAACCTTAAGTTATCTCAATAAGTCATACATGAATCGGGTAGGTAACTCCTTATCGATTGCATCTAATACAATTCCTAATCTCATTGGCATGATAACTCCTTGTCATCTTATATCCTATGTGAGTATCAATCTTTACCTTCAAGTTTATTGGACCTTGAGTTATCTCAATAAACCCACTAACTCGTTTCTAGTTGAACCCAAACGTTCGAAGTCATCGCATGGCCCATGATTTGATTCCTTCGAGGAAGAAGTGACCTTGAGTTATCTCATCAAACCAATACCGATTAACGAGTTCTCTCCTCATAACGTTGGAAGGTAATTAACTTGATATTTAATTTGAAGGATTTAATATGTTAGGTCTCTTCCTCTCACCTTCCCTCTCGTAAGTATAATAATTTATAATAGATCTCAACTACTAGCCCCTCAAGTCATAAGGAGACCGAGTGAGTCAAATGCCAAAGTGAAAAATTATTATAAATTCTTTGAGATTGTTTTCACTTCTTAGCTTCTTCTCCTTTCACCTATTCTAATATCATATCTTCTACTTTTATATTTATTTGAATAAGAAACCTCGAGTTACATTCGAGGGGAGTAAGATAAGAAGAGAAATACAATAGAATAATAAAGAAGGCATGACATCGAATCCTTATTAATCTAAAAAATTACAAACATTATTTATCCATAAAACTAGGTCGACTTATCCATACCATTCACTCATGCTTCAATTACATTGATACATAACATACTACGTAAACATATTTCATTTTAATCGTAATTATAAATTTATATTTTTGTCAATTTATAAATGTAACACCCCTAACCTAGGACCTAATATGCTAAGAATATTACTTCCGTCAACCTACATTCGAAGTGCAATGAATGTAAGCTAACAAGATACTATGACTTATCTATAATACATTATTTGTAAATTACGTTGTGAAAGTCTAATAATGACAATTAGATCCTATGTTTAGTTCAAAATGTACTATAAATTTTTCATATTTTATTATTTTATTTACATTATTTGGATTGAAATAATCAAATCTGTGAATCTCGATTTTCTCAAATTCCTTTTCTATTAAATTATATAAATTTATTCAATTATAACCCATTACTTAATAATTAATTGATTATTTCTTTTCATTATTTACCATTTAAATTAATTATTATCTATTTCACTATATCATCTTATTGCTCTAGCGATGCTAGTATGGAAATAATTAACCTAAAGTAAACTATACTAGTTACTATGCTACTACCATTTTACTATTATTATGTTGATTACATATAAACTACTATTTACGTATAAAATTAGTTAAATACCAACTACTACAAAATTAGCTAATTGACTATTTACTTCATTTTAGAAGTACTTCATCTACTTGTTCATTGCTTTTAATATAGTATAAAACAATTCGATTAACCCTAGTACATAAATGATAACGAGTTAGTACCAAAAGCAAAATAACGTGCAACGAGTCCACCTAGAAGTCGAAACCCCAACCAAGGTTTGTATTTCTAGTGTATCCCTCGAAAATCAACTCGGTGGAGAAGTAAGCCATAGTACCTTAATTATCTACATCACAAGAAACTAAGTGAGCGACAATTTAATAAGTTAACTCATGCATGTAAATGGATGTGCATGAGTGGAAATATTAATATGCATACATTAAATCTTGTCTTTTCATTATATAAATACT